TATTTATACTTTTTTTTTACTTTGACTGCATTAAATCTTTTCATCAACTTCAGACCTAACTATACAAATACAGTTTTGTAATGTTTTTTCACATTTTTTACATTTTTAGAACATTTTTGTCAGGAAAAGCCTTGATTTTCAATATAAGAAAAACACAAAATATGCAATATTTTTAAAAGTAGGGTGCAAAGTGGAAAATATGGCACAGGGCTATTACTGCCTTGACTACATCAATCATTGATAACAACATTGAATTTGATGCATTATTAGTTTTGGAGAAATAACCATTAAAAAAACTTACACTTACCCTTTGGGACCAAAAATGGTCCCTCTCAGAGAAGTCTAAATAAAAAAAATTACAAATACTTTTTTTTTACTTTCGTTGCATCAAGCTGTTGTGTTTTTAAAGTTTCTGATTYAACAACAGTTTGTTTAGAAGTTGGTGTTTCTTTCAATGAACCAAATAAACTTCTCATGTTGAAATCACATTTACTTTTGAAAACTAGCATGTGAGCCACACTTTACACTTTTTGTGAGTTTGTAACTAAAATCCATGACATTTTCACATGATGTGATCATAATGGTCACATGTGTTTTCAAATGGAGGTCACAGATTAAAACATGTTCAATTCATGCAGATTTTAAGAGTAATAATCTGTTCAACTTTCTAACTTCACTAAACCTGAGCAATGAGCTGCTTGAAAACATGCAGTCTAATAAAACTGTGAAAACAAATTTCACYAATTTCTGTTTTTATTGGCACCTGTTGAGCTCCGTAATACCCTCTCTCGCTGTCCCTGGCATACACAAATGTGTCCAAACAAATAAAACATGCTTTTTTGACCAATAAAATAAATATAACATTGGTATATAATCAAGCAAGAGGTAAAACCTGTTTGATGAAATGTTTATTCATTGTTGATCATTACTCACAATGTCAAGTTCAGTATCTTTAACTAGACTTTTTGTTTTATTGTTAAAAAGTCAACATTTTATTTTCCTTTACTAGATGAAGAAACATCAGGGTATTAATTAACAATAACTACATTTTGGTGGAGAAAGTTTCAGCTGCTGAACCTGATCATAGTTTAAACCTGGAATAATGTCGCCATCAAGTGGCAGGACTGAGTATTACAGTTATAACTAGCATCAAAGAGGGAGCTTTGTTTATTTTTGTTTTACTGCAGTATGATATGGACATTTCAGTGATATTTGGTACATAATATCTACTCTATATTTGTATATAAAATGATCAAACACTTAAAGCTTGCACCCCGCACACTCAGGTAAAAATTTGAATTTATTTTGTAATATTAGGCTACTACTCAATTCTCATAAATATAAAATTCTAACATCCCTTGATGGAATGCATRTGAATGAATATAAACATCTTGAATTGGAACGACTCCAAAAGCGATTAAATAATCCAATGATTGCATTCTGGATTAAATAAAATCTYTTCAGTAGTTCATAAAACATTTTTCAGATGGAGTTGACGACAAATAACTAATGGCAAAATTTCTAACAAATCTTAAAGTCTATTTGTTTGTGCTCRGARTGTRTGTTTGGGATCAGTCTCAACTACTCCCACACCAAACTTTAGGTCAGCATCTGTAAAGCTGACCGGGTTATAGGTCATTTGTTGTTTTTAATGCTCAGCTGGCTGTGGCGGCCATCTTGAATCAGGTTGACTCCAAAAGTTAATCAGTTGTAGATTTTCATCCAAAGATTAATTTTTCCAAATTTCATTAAAATTCGTCCAGTGGTTTAGGAGATATTTTGCTAACAGACACATAAAACACAGGGTGAAAACCTTATTGTTCGACTTTGCGTTTTGGGGGATAAAAAATTGAACGAAATGTGATTTAATGATGATGGGATTAAATGAAATGTGATTTAGCACCAATAAAATTTCTATTGAACGAACCGAGCCTGTTTGGATCGGTTCTGACGGCAGCACGTCGCAGCAGCTCATTGGACGTTCAGGAGGACGGATGGGCGAAACCATTCCTCCGAATCAAAGATGACTAAAAACCAGAAAGCCTCTAGATTTCCTGCCGTCCCTGAGGATTAGAGGCCTGGATTATAACGTTACAAATCCGGTTAATTTGAAGGTAAATTAGCCTYCTGGTGACGCGGGGAGCTGACCACCAGGATCCGGAGGAGAGTCGCTGGGTCCGCGATGGATTTCTGTAAACATCCAGGACCGCACACGGTACCGAGGATCCAGCTCGGTTCTCTTTCTGTTTAATTCTTTTATTTGTTTTTATTTTTCGTCTCGTCTCGTCTCGTCTCGTCTCGTCTCGTCTCGTCTCGTCATGGTTTCCACGCTGGGGCTCGTGCCGCTCACCGTGCTGATCATCCAGGGCGGATGGCGCGGGGTCGCGCCGAGCCCCACCGAGGAGGGAGCGCTCCGGGCCGGCCACGGGGAGCACGGAGAGCCGGGCCACCAGGAGCCCCACAAGGACTCCTACAGCACGTTCGCCTCGGAGTTCCTGGAGTCCAAATACCTGTCTGATGACGGTAAGCACCTGGATCCGTTCACAGGAAGTTCACTTTTATTTACAGGAAAAACAAATGTAGAAACTCAGGAAGGAGAAATGAAACTAAGCAACGAACTGAAGGTGCGCTGCTTACAGAGGGCCTTTCAGCACCCAGGACAGCTCCCTGCTGCTCTCATGCACGCGCGCTCACAAACACAAGGCAGATGGCCTCTCCTTGTTAATTCATTTCATACTAATTCAGTTTATTTATACAGCTCCAAGTTGCAACAAAGGTCTTCTTAGGGCACTGTACAAAAATAATATTATTTAAAAAAAGAAGTCATCAGATTGTGTTGAATCATCATGGTCTCCCATCCTGAGCAGCACATTGGTGACAGTGGAGAGGAAATCTTCCTTTTAACAAGAAGAAACCTCCAGCAGAACCAGACCCAGGACAGGAGGCCATCTGCCTGGACCGGCTGGGTTTGTAGTGACAGGAAAGAGATGCAGGTAAACACAGAACAACTGGTCCAGGTGTGTTTTCCTCTGTAAGAGAGACAAAGAAAACATTGGCATTGGTGGGAAAGTACAAGTACTTTGTTGCTTTACTTAAATACATTTTTCATGCATCTGTACTTTACTTAAGTAGATGTCGTCATGGGTACTTTTGACTTTTACTCCACTACATTTTATATTAAAATGCCTGTAACATGCCTATCCTTCAAATACAAAAGGTCAAAGAAAATTCATTCAATTCAATTCAATTCAGTTCAATTAAAAATTATTCATTTAATTAAAAAATAACTATATATAATAAAAACAAAGAAAATACACAAATCAAAAATCTAAATAAAATGAAAGGTAGCAGAAGAAGAATAAATCTTATGTCTGCCCCTTTTATCCCCAGAATATATTTAAACAAAACATAACTTATAAAACAATACAAATAAAAAAAAACATCAACTCAACAATTCGTATAGCTTCTCATTTTATTTTCCCATACACCTTCAGAAAACTAGCGTTTATCTGTTTCTTAAATATATACATTGATCTGGCATTTTTAAGATCATCTTCCAGACCATTCCACAATCCTATACCCTGGATTAAACTATACCCTGGATTAAACTATACCCTGGATTAAACTATACCCTGGATTAAACTATACCCTGGATTAAACTATACCATGGATTAAAGTGCATCTTTCTCTCAAACAAGTAGGAAAATATGGCTTCACAAACATTTCCATTCCCTTAAGATAATACCAACTCTCTCTCTTAAAAAAGTTTACCTGAATGTTGGAAGGTAATACGTTTTTGTGAGCCTTGTACATAAACAGTACACACTGTACATAAACAGTATCATAGAATTTCAAATTTTTCAGTTTGCAAAATAATGTATTTGATGGACGGTTGGAATCTTTTCTAGCAATAATTCTTATGGCTCTTTTCTGTAAAACAAAAATCTGATTTGTAATTGTTTTGCAAGCTTTACCCCAGACTTCAATACAGTAACTTAAATGTGGAACAGTTATTGAATAATACAGCACAATCAGAGCTTTGTCATTGAATAACTCCCTGGCTTTATACAGTACTCCTATAGATTTAGATAATTTTGTTCTTAAATAAAATATGTGAGGTCTCCATGTCAGCTTGTCGTCAATGATGAGACCCAGAAATTTCACCTCACTGACTTTACAGATCTCAATACCATCTACTTTAAATGAGAAATCAACAGTTGTCTTCCTGTTACTAAATATCATGTAGTTTGTTTTATCCAAATTTAATGACAATTTGTTTTGTTAAAAACAATTTTCTATTTTCTCAAATTCCTTCTGTACCAACTCAAACATTTTTCTATATCTTTACCTAAACAATAAAATGTTGTATCGTCAGCTAATAAAACACATTTGAAAAGTCCTGACACATTTACTAAGTCATTTACATATAAAATAAATAACTTAGGTCCCAGTACAGAACCTTGAGGGACTCCACATGTGATATTACCATGTTCAGATCCTACACCATTTATTTGTACAAATATCTTCATATTTAGGAAAATTTGCATAAAACACATGATTTAACCCATTTTGACACATAACTGGCATGTTTTCCTTTGGCTCAGCTAAAGTGAAACAGGAAGAGACATCAAACGGGAACTCTTTAAGAATGGAAACTCTCTTGTCTTTGTTTATTAAAACAATATTATTTGGACTTTGACTTTTCTTCATCTGTCTCTTATAGGGACTAAACTTATCTAAATAAACATCAGAAGATTCCCTGCTGTCTGTGCTGTTAGCCTTTGTAACAACGCTTTGTTTACATGCAGACATTCCCCTGTGACATCACTTCCTGTTACTTCACATGCAAATATCTCAACAACCGTTCATCTCAGTGGTGTGAAATTGCTTTTGTTTTATGTTATCTATGTTATCTTTCCAAAAGTGCAATCACATTTATCACAAAAAATTTATGTCACAAGCACTTTAAGTATCTGTACTTTCTACTCCACTCCATTTCTATAATGCGTTGAGTTACAAATTACATTCTTGTCACGTCGCATTACGTTTTTTTTTTTTATTTGAAAGTAATCAGTGGTGAGAGGGGAATTGCTGTAGTGTTTTAGTACTTTCTCCACCACTGGTTATTACAACAGACATGTAGAGGAGAGAGACTAAAGGCAGCAGCAGAGTGAGGACATGGGGGCTGTTTGTCCTCCAACAGTGTCCCCACGAGAAGAACCAGATATACACTTGTGTCAAAAACACAAATTTATCTTAAGTGGTTGTTAATTTCATGAGCTGGAAGGGCTATCCTGTATCTTTTCAAAAATGATGATAAAGTTCTGCCACCCTGAGATGGACCCAAACATTGGTCTGGCCCGTGGACCGTGTGCTGACTTCTTTTTGAATAAAACCAACCACCTTTTGTTCTGGARCCTCAGCAGGTCAGGTGGAATGATTCTGTCTCTTTGCAGGTTATCCATTTCCCACCGCCCCACCCGTGGACCCTTTTGCCAAAATCAAAGTCAGCGACTGTGGMGTCACCAAAGGCTGCATCAGGTCAGGCCCGTCCCGTCTGCATCATCGCCTCCAGCTGATCTGAAAACCAAAGATAAAAAGCATTCACACTCTCATCAATACATGTTAAGAAATCTTAGTTTTCTAATTGAAAAAAAAAAATGAATCATTTTTTTCCACGTGTGCCTGAAAAGACTTGTTTTCAAATGTTTYGTTTTAATTTACAAATTTATTTTTCACCCAGTTCATATAAAACAATAAGAAATTATTATGTTTGACTCCAGCTGGAGCAGATTTACTCAAAATCAAG